TAGTTTATCCTCTTTCTCTCTAGCCTTTGGTATTACTGTACCTTACTACACTTTATAACAGGAGGTACTAGCTGTTGTTTTTGTAGATAATATACTAACATTTAACAACATCCAAGAAGGTCACAGTTAGTTACACACGTACATACCATAAGTCCGTGAGGTTTCATAGGGTAGTACTAAAGTGCGAGGCAGCGAGGCATGCGAGGCAGCGAGGCAAAACGACGATTCATGCGAGACATCGTTTTACCATTCCCAAAAGTGCGAGGCATAACAACGATTCATGCGAGGCATCGTTTTACATCGAAATATGTGCAGAGAACAACAAAAATCCAATGTAAAATTAATATACGTACTATTTAATAATTATGCGTGATAGTCATTGTCAAATTTGCTACTTAATTTGATCTTGTTCCTCGTATCGTACTCACTCGAGTCAATCCGATATGGCCCGAGTGAAGTTTCATGTAAATGTTTCGTACGGAAAAAAAATCGCCAGCGGGGGCCCTAGCGGCCCTCGCCCACTACCCCCAGTCAACTGGTGTCACACATTTCAAATCGCTCAGGTTGGTAGCTATGCAAATGCTAAACAGTGGACAACGAAATAGCGGATAATAGATCAACAGGATAAACATTGAACATTGTAGCGTTACATTATGTTGGAACTTCCGGCTCACTGAGGCGTGACAAAGACAAAATGCATAATTAGGACTCAGTAGAACCAGTACTACGGGGCGCCAAACGACACACTACCTGTTCTGTCACACAAAACCATGTTTGTAAGGGACAAATCATGTTTTGTAATATACGAAAGTTATTCATTCTGTCTTTACAAAACATGTTTTGTCTCGACAAACATGGTTTGTCATTTACAAAACATATTTTGTCATGATAAAACATGTTTTGTCAAGACAAACATGGTTTTGTCATTTACAAAAAAAAGTTTTGTCTCGACAAACATGGTTTTGTCATTTACAAAACATGTTTTGTCTCGACAAACATGGTTTTGACATTTACAAAACATGTTTTGTCGAGACAAAACATGTTTTGTCGAAACAAATATGGTTTTTTCATTTACAAATAACGTTTTGTCGAGACAAAACATGTTTTGTTTAGGCAAACATGATTTTGTCGAGACAAAACATGTTCTGTAAATGACAAAACCATGTTTGTCTACACAAAACATGTTTTGTTAAAGACAAAACCATGTTTGTCTGTACAAAACATGTTTTGTAAGTGACAAAACCATGTTTATAGTATAGTATAGTGTGTCGTTTGGCGCCCTAATGGCTCCGTACGACACACTACCTTTTTCGTCATGTTTGTAGGGAACAGACATGATTTTGTCTCTTAATAAACACATTTTGTAAAAAACAACATGTTTTTGTCGTTCACTCAAACACAAAACATGTTTTGTCGCTAAGAAAACATGTTTTGTAAAAGACAAACATGGTTTTGTCTTTTACAAAACATGTTTTGTCGCTTACAAAACATGTTTTGTAAAAGACAAAACATGTTCCGTAAATTCATGACAAGATGTTTATTTATGAGGAGGAGAAGTCAATTAAATGGATGATTGAGATGCTGCTGCTCCAAACAGTCGTTGTCGTGCGGTAGAAAAAGTTTATTATTTTTTATTTCCAAACCGGATTCAAAATGAAGATTGTCGAGAAATTATGGAATGACATGGATTTGAAGTTACGTTATACCTGAAGTAAGAGTTTAAGGGAAGAAAATTGCTCATATCGAATAGGACGAGAGCCACTAGCCTTCAGTCAGTAGGAGAGCTAGGCCTAGCCAGGTCATCCTTCAACATTGCGAGCGGACGTCGGCACAGCCAATTACATTTGCCTAAAAAGATATCTATGGCTTTCTCACCCCAAAAAACGTAGGTCTAGTGTATGCCTAACTCATCATAATTTGAACTTTATACAACCTTGCAATCGCTGTTACATCAACATTAAACGTTCTGCTGCACTATCTGGAATACGGGCTAATATTCATAGGCATGTGCTGCTAGGCCTAACAATACATTTATTTAAGGTAGATACTGACTGTAGTACTAGTAGGGCATGATCTAGGCCCTGGCTAAGCCTGCCAGCACCACTACCTGGAAACGTAAAGACAGGACTTTCTGCACTGGATGTCAATAGAGTTTTAAACTGTGGGCCTCAACACAGTGTAGGTTTGGTTAAAATCTAAAGATGTTCTGTCAAACTATTTTCAAATCGCATAGAGAGTAAGACTGGTTATGCCTAGGCTATAATACTAGTAATAGTATAATACAATATATGCTAGTGTGTATGATGACATCCTAGTACATGAGGTTGTGAAATGCTGCTGACTGCATATATTCCTGTTTTTCTTTCATTTA